ATGTCTACCTTGAACATTAATCTTAGTGGTGACTTTGTCACTGTAGATGTCTACCTTAAACATTAATCTTAGTGGTGACTTTGTCACTGTAGATGTCTACCTTAAACATTAATCTTAGTGGTGACTTTGTCACTGTAGATGTCTACCTTAAACATTAATCTTAGTGGTGATTTTGTCACTGTAGATGTCTACCTTAAAACATTAATCTTAGTGGTGACTTTGTCACTGTAGATGTCTACCTTAAACATTAATCTTAGTGGTGACTTTGTCACTGTAGATGTCTACCTTAAACATTAATCTTAGTGGTGACTTTGTCACTGTAGATGTCTACCTTAAACATTAATCTTAGTGGTGACTTTGTCACTGTAGATGTCTACCTTAAACATTAATCTTAGTGGTGACTTTGTCACTGTAGATGTCTACCTTAAACATTAATCTTAGTGGTGACTTTGTCACTGTAGATGTCTACCTTAAACATTAATCTTAGTGGTGACTTTGTCACTGTAGATGTCTACCTTAAACATTAATCTTAGTGGTGACTTTGTCACTGTAGATGTCTACCTTAAACATTAATCTTAGTGGTGACTTTGTCACTGTAGATGTCTACCTTAAACATTAATCTTAGTGGTGACTTTGTCACTGTAGATGTCTACCTTAAACGTTAATCTTAGTGGTGACTTTGTCACTGTAGATGTCTACCTTAAACGTTAATCTTAGTGGTGACTTTGTCACTGTAGATGTCTACCTTAAACATTAATCTTAGTGGTGACTTTGTCACTGTAGATGTCTACCTTAAACATTAATCTTAGTGGTGACTTTGTCACTGTAGATGTCTACCTTAAACATTAATCTTAGTGGTGACTTTGTCACTGTAGATGTCTACCTTAAACATTAATCTTAGTGGTGACTTTGTCACTGTAGATGTCTACCTTAAACATTAATCTTAGTGGTGACTTTGTCACTGTAGATGTCTACCTTAAACATTAATCTTAGTGGTGACTTTGTCACTGTAGATGTCTACCTTAAACATTAATCTTAGTGGTGACTTTGTCACTGTAGATGTCTACCTTAAACATTAATCTTAGTGGTGACTTTGTCACTGTAGATGTCTACCTTAAACATTAATCTTAGTGGTGACTTTGTCACTGTAGATGTCTACCTTAAACATTAATCTTAGTGGTGACTTTGTCACTGTAGATGTCTACCTTAAACATTAATCTTAGTGGTGACTTTGTCACTGTAGATGTGTAACTTTCTCATTATATTGTTAAATGTTCCAAACTTCACAACTCTCCTGACTTGACCTGATATTTTCTTCTCCTCCTCTCTCTACCTCTTCTTCTTTCCTATTTATTTCGTATGTGTTTTATGTTCTTTGCTTTTTTTCTCACTTTGATTTTGGTATCAGTCTTGTGGACCAGTAGCTCTCCTGCAGTGCTCCCTTTTTCTTGTCTTTAGACTGATCCCACTTCTTCTTCTACCGCTCCATTACTAATGTTACCTCTGTTATTGCCTCCACTGATGCCCCTTAGTGTCTACAACCTCAACCACTTCTAATACTACTTCCACTTCTAGCATCACCACTACTTATTGTTCTTCCTCTCGTGGTCCCTCCCCTGTCTCCCTCACCTTCGTGTGTCAGTGTGACTTGTAAATGGTCCAAGTCAGACAAAAACATCATGATCTTCTCTGTCTTAAGGTGCGGGTTATTTGTGTTTGGTTCCAGTCACAGAATCTTGATAAAGCTCAAGACAGAGCCATGACTTGATCAAGCTCTATACAGAGCCATGACTTGATAAAGCTCTATACAGAGCCATGACTTGATAAAGCTCTATACAGAGCCATGACTTGATAAAGCTCTATACAGAGCCATGACTTGATAAAGCTCTATACAGAGCCATGACTTGATCAAGCTCTATACAGAGCCATGACTTGATAAAGCTCTATACAGAGCCATGACTTGATAAAGCTCTATACAGAGCCATGACTTGATAAAGCTCTATACAGAGCCATGACTTGATAAAGCTCTATACAGAGCCATGACTTGATAAAGCTCTATACAGAGCCATGACTTGATAAAGCTCTATACAGAGCCATGACTTGATAAAGCTCTATATAGAGCCATGACTTGATAAAGCTCTATACAGAGCCATGACTTGATAAAGCTCTATACAGAGCCATGACTTGATAAAGCTCTATACAGAGTAATGTCTTGATAAAGCTCTATACACAGCCATGACTTGATAAAGCTCTATACAGAGCCATGACTTGATAAAGCTCTATACAGAGCCATGACTTGATAAAGCTCTATACAGAGCCATGACTTGATAAAGCTCTATACAGAGCCATGACTTGATAAAGCTCTATACAGAGCCATAACATGAAGTCTACACTTAGTCATGACTTTATAAAGCTCTATACAGTCATAATTTGATAAAGCTCTACACAGAGTCGTAACTTAATAAAACTCTTCACATTAAACCATTTAAAATTAAACCATCTATTAAACCAATAAATTACGAAACCTTTAAATACTAAAGAATAAAATCATTAAACCACTAAACAATAAAACACAGTAAAAAACTTAACTATTAAACCATAAAAAATTAAACCACTAAACCAAAAAACCTCTCTTCTGTTAAACCATGTAACCAACAAACCGTTAAACCATTAAGGATTAAGCTAATTATTCCATAGGCCTACAGGCGAATGCTATTCCATTGGCCTATAGGTGAATGTATGCTATTCCATAGGCCTATAGGTGAATGTTATTCCATAGGTGTACAGGTGAATGTATGTTATTCCATAGGCCTATAGGTGAATGTTATTCCAATAGGCCTACAGGTGAATTTATGTTATTCCATAGGCCTATAGGTGAATGTTATTCCATAGGCCTACAGGTGAGTGTACGTTGTTCCATAGGCCTACAGGTGAATGTAAGATAAGATAAGATAAGATTTCGTTCGGATTTTTAACCCCGGAGGGTTAGCCACCCAGGATAACCCAAGAAAGTCAGTGCGTCATCGAGGACTGTCTAACTTATTTCCATTGTGGTCCTTAATCTTGTCCCCCAGGATGCGACCCACACCAGTCCACTAACACCCAGGTACCTATTTGCTGCTAGGTGAACAGGACAATAGGTGTAAGGAAACGTGTCAGAATTTCCACCCGCCGGGAATCGAACCCGGGCCCTCCGTGTGTGAAGCGGGAGTTTTAGCCACCAGACCACCGGGCCTATACGTGAATGTATGTTATTCCATAGGCCTATACGTGAATGTATGTTATTCCATAGGCCTATACGTGAATGTATGTTGTTCCATAGGCCTACAGGTGAATGTATGCTATTTCATAGGCCTACAGGTGAGTGTACGTTGTTCCATAGGCCTATGACTGCAACAATTCACAACCCACAAATCCCCACCAATGCGAGACAAATTAGAATTTTAGGCCATAGACCAAATATCTGGGCACAATTCATGGCATTAAAAACGGTCCAGGACCCACAAAGACCACCCTGAAAAATCTGATCCACACTCAAGTGAGAGATTTCTGATTGCATCGTCACTACGGCGAGGTGAAACCTGACACCAGTGATCTGATTTCCCCTTCTAAGGACAACTGTCACTCTGAGTGAAGGACTATCACCTATTATCTATCTGCTGTCTATCTTTAAGGAGAGTAAGTATGTTTCGATCTATCTAGGTTAAGTAGGTACTCAAGAGCCAGGGATAACTATTATAGTATCAAATTTTGTGTTCTTCTCTAGGTTTCTATGTTCTATCTCGAGAATGATTTGTCAGATTGATTTCAACTTTTAAAGACACATGGTATTGGCCTCATGGAAGGTTCGTGTGAGTTTTGGGTTGTGTCGTAATAGATTTGTCTATTTTCTAGCATATATAAAATAATGAATGAAATTGGCTTTCTTGCTTTATCTCAAGAATGGTTCACCAGATCGATTTCAACTTTCAAAGATATATGCTACTGACCTCATGGAATATTCGTGAGAGTTTTGGGCTGTGTTGTTATAGATTTGTCTATTCTATAGCATAGGTAAAAAAAATTTGTCTTCGTTATAACTCAAGAATGGTTCACCAGATCGATTTTAACTTTTAAAGACAAGTGCTGTTGACCTCAAGGAAGATTCGTGAGAATTTTGAACTGCGTTGGGATAGATTTGTCTATTCTATAGCATAAGAATTTTTTTCATTAAATTTGTCTATTTTTGTTATAACTCGATAATCGTTCATCAGATAGATTTCAACTTTAACTATGTTCAACTCTATTATGTTCAACTCTATGTTGTTGATGATGATGCCTCAACTTCAGATGATTTAACTTTCTAGTGAGAATATATTAGTATCCCCTGACTTGCCAGTTTATTTTAGTTCCCCTTGAGACAAAAAAATCTAATCAGTTTTCTTTTTTCACGAAATACGAACCATTAAAACTACAAAAAATAGATAGAAAAAAGGGCAAAAAATAATAAAATTTGCATAATTTAGAAATAAAAGTGGCATTAGTCATGATTATATATATACAGGGTGTTTTAAAATAATGGACCCGATTTCAAAGCAATATATAATAAAATTCGGTCCATCATTATGAAACACCCTGTACAGTGGACCCCCAGTTAACTATATTTTTTCACTCCAGAAGTATGTTCAGGTGCAGTACTGACTGAATTTGTTCCCATAAGGAATATTGTGAAGTTAGATTAGTCCATTTCAGACCCCCAAACATACACGTACAAACGCACTTACATAAATACACTTACATAATTGGTCGCATTCGGAGGTAATCGTTATGCGGGGTCCACTGTATATATATGTGAGGCCTTTCACCTGGTGATACTTCATCAGTGACATTCCACCTGGACACAGTACTTACCGTAACTTGAAAAAATGGGCATCACAGCACCTCCGGAGGGTAGGTAAGTGGGTAGGTGAAGGAGGGGGGTAGGTGAAGGGGGTGTAGGTGAAGGGGAGGTAGGTGCTTACCTTGATAGTTTCCCTGAGGATTGCCACCTCGCGGTTTAGGTGGTCGTTCTCAGTGGACAGGTTCTCCAGTTGGGTCTGGACCTCGACGCTCAGACCTCTAGTTTTCTGGTGTCTCAACTCCTCCTCCAGCTGGCGCACCAGCATCGCTTGCTTCTGTAATAGGGAGAGAGCGGGGCTGTTAGTGCTTGTGGTGTGCATGATGAGCGGGGTGAAGAGGCAGCACACCCCCTACCCCAGACGACCTCCTGGTAAAAGTAGTCTGGGGTTGGGGGTGTGCAGTGTGACTAACCTATCACCCATACACTATACCACCATACACAAAAATACATCCATATACCCAGGGGCTTATAAATACACCCAGGGGCTTATAAATACACCCAGGGGTTTATAAATACACCCAGGGGCTTATAAATACACCCAGGGGTTATAAATACACCCAGGGGCTTATAAATACACCCAGGGGCTTATAAATACACCCAGGGGCTTATAAATACACCGGGGCTTTAAATACACCAGGGGTTTTAAATACACCCAGGGGCTTATACATACACCCAGGGGCTTATAAATACACCCAGGGGCTTATAAATACACCCAGGGGCTTATAAATACACCCAGGGGTCTAAAAATACACCCAGGGGTCTATAAATACACCCAGGGGCTTACAAATACACCCAGGGGCCTATAAATGCATCCAGGGGCCTATAAATACACCCAGGGGCCTATAAATACACCCAGGGGCCTATAAATACACCCAGGGGCCTATAAATACACCCAAGGACCTAAAAATACACCCAGGGGCCTATAAATACACCCAGGGACATAAAAATACACCCAGGGGCCTATAAATACACCCAGGGGCCTAAAAATACACCCAGGGACCTAAAAATACACCCAGGGACCTAAAAATACACCCAGGGACCTAAAAATACACCCAGGTACTATAAAATACACCCAGGGACCTAAAACACCCAGGGACCTAAAATACACCCAGGGACCTAAAAAATACACCCAGGGACTAAAAATACACCAGGGACCTAAAAATACACCCAGGGACCTAAAAATACACCCAGGGACCTAAAAATACACTCAGGGACCTAAAAATACACCCAGGGACCTAAAAATACACCCAGGGACCTAAAATACACCCAGGACATAAAATACACCCAGGGACCTAAAAATACACCCAGGGACATAAAAATACACCCAGGGACCTAAAATACACCAGGGACATAAAAATACACCCAGGGACCTAAAAATACACCCAGGGACCTAAAAATACACCCAGGGACCTAAAAATACACCCAGGGACCTAAAAATACACCCAGGGACCTAAAAATACACCCAGGGACCTAAAAATACACCCAGGGACCTAAAAATACACCCAGGGACCTAAAAATACACCCATACTCCCATAAAATACACTCATACACCCACACATCCATGGACACAGAAATACACCTAGTGATACACTAAAAATACCCACTGATACACTCACCTAAGAATACACTCAAACGTATTGACTTGTAGTCTACCATTAGTCTCCATAGTCTACAGTAGTCTACCATAGTCTACACAGTAAGTCACCAGTAGATCAACCAGTAAGTATACAGTTAGATACACCAGTAGTCATACCAGTATCACCAGTAGTCTACCAGTAGTCTACCAGTAGTCACCAGTAGTACTGTCACCAGTAGTCTACCAGTAGTCTACCAGTAGTCTACCAGTATCTACCAGTATCTACCAGTACTTCTACCAGTAGTCTACCAGTAGTCTACCAGTAGTCTACCAGTAGTCTACCAGTAGTCTACCAGTAGTCTACCAGTAGTCTACCAGTAGTCTACCAGTAGTCTACCAGTTAGTACTACCAGTTAGTCTCACAGTAGTCTACCAGTAGTCTACCAGTAGTCTACCAGTAGTCTACCAGTAGTCTACCAGTAGTCAACCAGTAGTCTACCGTATCTACCAGTAGTCTACCAGTAGTCTACCAGTAGTCTACCAGTAGTCTACCAGTAGTCTACCAGTAGTCAACCAGTAGTCTACCAGTAGTCTACCAGTAGTCTACCAGTAGTCTACCAGTAGTCAACCAGTAGTCTACCAGTAGTCTACCAGTAGTCAACCAGTAGTCTACCAGTAGTCTACCAGTAGTCTACCAGTAGTCAACCAGTAATCTACCAGTAGTCTACCAGTAGTCTACCAGTAGTCAACCAGTTATCTACCAGTAGTCTACCAGTAGTCTACCAGTAGTCTACCAGTAGTCAACCAGTAGTCTACCAGTAGTCTACCAGTAGTCTACCAGTAGTCTACCAGTAGTCTGCCAGTAGTCTACCAGTAGTCTACCAGTAGTCTACCAGTAGTCTACCAGTCGTCTGCCAGTAGTCTACCAGTAGTCTACCAGTAGTCTACCAGTACTCTACCAGTAGTCTACCAGTCGTCTACCAGTAGTCTACCAGTAGTCTACCAGTAGTCTACCAGTAGTCAACCAGTAGTCTACCAGTAGTCTACCAGTAGTCTACCAGTAGTCTGCCAGTTGTCTACCAGTAGTCTACCAGTAGTCTACCAGTAGTCTACCAGTCGTCTACCAGTAGTCTACCAGTAGTCTACCAGTAGTCTACCAGTAGTCTACCAGTAGTCTACCAGTAGTCAACCAGTAGTCAACCAGTAGTCTACCAGTAGTCTACCAGTAGTCTACCAGTAGTCAACCAGTAGTCTACCAGTAGTCTACCAGTAGTCAACCAGTAGTCTACCAGTAGTCTACCAGTAGTCTACCAGTAGTCTACGAGTAGTCTACCAGTAGTCTACCAGTAGTCTACCAGTAGTCTACCAGTAGTCTACCAGTAGTCTAGTAGTTAGGCAGACTATCGTAGTAGATAGTAAACTACTTTGGATACTAGTTAACTACCCAATTAGGCAACTAATTTAACAACTAGGTTAGCTACTAGTCTGGATAGTTTGTGACTAGTTGATATATCAACTAGGCCATAAAATCTAGCTGTGATAGGCCTATGATAATTGTAATTTGTGAGTTAGGCTCTTAAGAGTGCCAGTAAGAGTCATTAAGAGTGCTAGTAAGAGTGCCAATAAGAGTGCCAGAGAGCCTGCAAGAGTGCAAGAAAGAGTGCCAGAGAGCCTGTAAGAGTGCCAGTAAGAGAGCCTGTAAGAGTGTTAGTCAGAGTGCCAGTGAGAGTGCTATAAGAGTGCCATTTGGGCTGTTAGTAAGAGTGTTAGTCAGAGTGCCAGTAAGAGTGCTATAAGAGTGCCATTTGGGCTGTTAGTAAGAGTGCCATAAGAGAGAGTGTCATTAAGAGTGCAAGATAATCAGAGAGTGCCAGTAAGAAAAAATGAAAAGAGCTCCATTCAAAGTGCCAGTTATAGTGCCGGTAAGAGTGCCAGAGAGTGCAAGTAAGAGAGTACCAATAAGAGTTCCAAAGTGCCAGTAAGAGTGCCAGAGTGTCAATAAGCGTGCCAGTAAATCCACCTTCAAGAGTGCCAGCTAGTAGGAGTACTAGCTAGTAAGAGCACCAGTAAGAGTGCCAGCCTGTAAGAGTGACAGCCAGTAAGAGTGCCAGCCTGTAAGAATGCCAGCATGTAAGAGTGCCAGCCAGTAAGAGTGCCAGCCAGTAAGAGTGCCAGCCTGTAAGAGTGCCAGCCAGTAAGAGTGCCAGCCTGTAAGAGTGCCAGCCAGTAAGAGTGCCAGCCTGTAAGAGTGCCAGCCAGTAAGAGTACCGATAAGAGTGCCAGCCTGTAAGAGTGCCAGCTAGTAAGAATATCAGTAAGAGTGCCAGCCAGTAAGAGTACCGGTAAGAGTGCAGCCTGTAAGAATGCCAGCCAGTAAGAGTGGCAAAGTGCCAGTAAGAGTGGCAACCAGTAAGACTGCCAGAGTGCCAGTAAGAGTGGCAGTCAGTAAGACTGCCAGAGTGCCAGCCAGTAAAATTTTTAGCCAATAAAGAGTGCCAGAGTGCCAGTAAGAATGACAATGAGAATGCCAGTAAGCATGGCATTAAGAATAGCAGTAAGAGTGGAATTAAGTGTCAAGAGTGGTAGCGAGTAAGAGTGCCAGTAAGAGTGCCAGTTAGAGAGCCAGTAAGAGTGGCAATAAGAATACCAGTAAGAGTGGCAGTAAGAGTGTAAGAGTGCCAGTGAGAGTACCAGTAAGATTGGCAGCAAGTAATTGTGCTAGTAAGAGTGCCAGTACGAGTGCCAGTAAGAGTGCCACTAAGAGTGTCAATAAGAGTGGCAGCCAGTAAGAGTGCCAGAATGCCAGTACAAGTGTCAGAGTGTCAGTAAGAGTGCCAGTACGAGAGCTAGTAAAAGTGTCAGTAAGAGTGCCAGAGTGCCAGTAAGAGTGTCAATAAGAGTGGTAGCCAGCAAGAGTGCCAGAGTACCAGTAAAAGTGCCAGAGTACCACTAAGAGTGTCAATAAGAGCGGCAACAAGAGTACCAGCTGTCAGTGCCACTAAGAGTGCCAGTGCCACTAATAGTGACAGAGTGCCACTAAGAGCGTCAATAAGAGTGGCAACCAGAGTGTCAGACTGCCAGTAAGAGTATCAATAAGAGTGGCATCCAATAAGAGTGCCAGAGTGCTAGTAAGAGTGCCAGTGCCAGTAAGAGTACCAGAGTGCCAGTAAGAGTGCCAGTGCCAGCAAGAGTGCCAGAGTGCCAGTAAGAGTGCCAGAGTGCCAGTAAGAGTGCCAGAGTGCCAGTAAGAGTGCCAGTGCCAGTAAGAGTACCAGAGTGCCAGTAAGAGTGCCAGTGCCAGTAAGAGTGCCAGTGCCAGCAAGAGTGCCAGTAAGAGTGCCAGAGTGCCAGTAAGAGTGCCAGTGTCAGCAAGAGTGCCAGTAAGAGTGCCAGAGTGCCAGTAAGAGTGCCAGTGCCAGCAAGAGTGCCAGTAAGAGTGCCAGAGTGCCAGTAAGAGTGCCAGTGCCAGTAAGAGTACCAGAGTGCCAGTAAGAGTGCCAGTGCCAGTAAGAGTGCCAGTACCTCCAGGCTGGGTCCCAGGTTCTTGTGATGCCTCAACTCCTCCTCCAGCTGCCACACCAGCATCGCTTGTTTCTGTAGAAGATGAAAATAAGAGTGTTAGTGGCCCTCTGATGGCCCCATAATGGCCCTCAGGTGGCCCTATAGCGGCATTTCTCAGTGTTAGTGGCGATCTGGTGGCCCTGTAGTGGCATTCCTCAGTGTTAGTGGTCCTGTAGTAGCCCTCTATTTGCATTTCTCAGTGCAAGTGGTCTCTAGTGGCCCTCTTGTGACATTCCTCAGGTAGTGGTCCTCCTCAGTGTTAGTGGTCCTCCTCAGTGTTAGTGACACTCCTCAGTGTTAGTGGTCCTCCTCAGTGTTAGTGACACTCCTCAGTGTTAGTGGTCCTCCTCAGTGTTAGTGGTCCTCCTCAGTGTTAGTGGTCCTCCTCAGTGTTAGTGGTCCTCCTCAGTGTTAGTGATACTCCTCAGTGTTAGTGATCCTCCTCAGTGTTAGTGGTCCTCCTCAGTGTTAGTGATACTCCTCAGTGTTAGTGACACTCCTCAGTGTTAGTGGTCCTCCTCAGTGTTAGTGGTCCTCCTCAGTGTTAGTGACACTCCTCAGTGTTAGTGGTCCTCCTCAGTGTTAGTGGTCCTCCTCAGTGTTAGTGACACTCCTCAGTGTTAGTGGTCCTCCTCAGTGTTAGTGGTCCTCCTCAGTGTTAGTGGTCCTCCTCAGTGTTAGTGGTCCTCCTCAGTGTTAGTGGTCCTCCTCAGTGTTAGTGGTCTCTCTCAGTGTTAGTGGTCCTCCTCAGTGTTGTGGTCCTCCTCAGTGTTTAGTGGTCCTCCTCAGTGTTAGTGGTCCTCCTCAGTGTTAGTGGTCCTCCTCAGTGTTAGTGGTCCTCCTCAGTGTTAGTGGCCCTCCTCAGTGTTAGTGGTCCTCCTCAGTGTTAGTGACACTCATCGGTGTTAGTGACACTCCTCAGTGTTAGTGGTCCTCCTCAGTGTTAATGGTCCTCCTCAGTGTTAGTGGTCCTCCTCAGTGTTAATGGTCCTCCTCAGTGTTAGTGGTCCTCCTCAGTGTTAGTGGTCCTCCTCAGTGTTAGTGGTCCTCCTCAGTGTTAGTGGCCCTCCTCAGTGTTAGTGGTCCTCCTCAGTGTTAGTGGTCCTCCTCAGTGTTAGTGGTCCTCCTCAGTGTTAATGGTCCTCCTCAGTGTTAGTGGCCCTTCTCAATGTTACTGGCAATCCTCAGTGTTAATGGCACTCCTCAGTGTTAATGGCCCTCCTCAGTGTTAATGGCACTCCTCAGTGTTAATGGCACTCCTCAGTGTTAATGGCACTCCTCAGTGTTAATGGCACTCCTCAGTGTTAATGGCCCTCCTCAGTGTTAATGGCACTCCTCAGTGTTAATGGCACTCCTCAGTGTTAATGGCACTCCTCAGTGTTAATGGCCCTCCTCAGTGTTAATGGCCCTCCTCAGTGTTAATGGTCCTCCTTAGTGTTAGTGGCCCTTCTCAATGTTACTGGCAATCCTCAGTGTTAATGGCACTCCTCAGTGTTAATGGCACTCCTCAGTGTTAATGGCCCTCCTCAGTGTTAATGGCACTCCTCAGTGTTAATGGCACTCCTCAGTGTTAATGGCAGTCCTCAGTGTTAGTGGCCCTCCTAAGTGTTAATGGCACTCCTCAGTGTTAGTGGCACTCAGTGTTAATGGCCCTCCTCAGTGTTAATGGCACTCCTCAGTGTTAATGGCACTCCTCAGTGCTAATGGCCCTTCTCAGTGTTAATGGCCCTCCTCAGTGTTAATGGCACTCCTCAGTGTTAGTGGCCCTCCTAAGTGTTAATGGCACTCCTCAGTGTTAGTGGCACTCAGTGTTAATGGCACTCCTCAGTCTTAGTGACACTCCTCAGTGTTAATGGCACTCCTAAGTGTTGGTCACACTCCTCAGTGTTAATGGCCCTCCTCAGTGTTAATGGCACTCCTCAGTGTTAATGACACTCCTCAGCGTTAATGGCACTCCTCAGTATTATGGAAGTGTTAACGGCACTCTTCAGTGTTAATGGCACTCCTCAGTGCTAGTGGCCCTCCTCAGTATTAATGACACTCCTCAGTGTTAATGGCCCTCCTCAGTGTTAATGGGACTCCTCAGTGTTCATGACACTCCTCAGCGTTAATGGCACTCTTAAGTATTATGGAATTGTTAACGGCACTCGTCAGTGTTAATGGCACTCCTCAGTGTTAGTGGCACTCCTCAGTGTTAGTGGCACTCCTCAGTGTTAATGGCACTCTTCAGTGTTATTGAAGTGTTAATGGCACTCCTCAGTGTTAATGGCACTCCCCAGTGTTAATGGTACTCTCAGTGTTAATGGCACTTCTCAGTGTTAATGGAACTCCTCAGTGTTAATGGCACTCCTCAGTGTTAATGGAACTCCTCAGTGTTAATGGCACTCCTCAGTGTTAATGACACTCCTCTGTGTTAATGGCACTCCTCAATGTTAATGGCACTCCTCAGTGTTATTAAAGTGTTAATGGCACTCCTCAGTGTTAATGGCACTCTTCAGTGTTATTGAAGTATTAATGGCACTCATCAGTGTTAGTGGCACTCCTCAGTGTTAATGGCACTCCTCAGTGTTATGGAAGTGTTAATGACACTCCTCAGTGTTAGTGGCACTCCTCAGTGTTAATGGCACTCCTCAGTGTTAATGGCACTCCTCAATGTTAATGGCACTCCTCAGTGTTATGGAAGTGTTAATGGCACTCCGCAGTGTTATGGCAGTGTTAATGGCACTTCTCAGTTTTATGGAAGTGTTAATGGCACTCCTCAGTGTTATTAAAGTGTTAATGGCACTCTACAGTGTTATTGGCACTCCTCAGTGTTATGGAAGTGTTAATGGCACTCCTCAGTGTTATGGCAGCGTTATGGCAGTGTTAATGGCATTCCTCAGTGTTATGGCAGTGCTAATGGCACTCCTCAGTGTTATGAAAGTGTTAATGGCACTCCTCAATGTTAATGGCACTCCTCAGTGTTAATAGCACTCCTCTGTGTTAATGGCACTCCTCAATGTTAATGGCACTCCTCAGTGTTAATAGCACTCCTCTGTGTTAATGGCACTCCTCAGTGTTAATAGCACTCCTCTGTGTTAATGGCACTCCTCTGTGTTAATGGCACTCCTCAGTGTTAATAGCACTCCTCTGTGTTAATGGCACTCCTCAGTGTTATGAAAGTGTTAAGGGCCCACTCCTCTGTGTTAATGGCACTCCTCTTTTTAAATAGCACTCCTCTGTATAATGGCACTCCTCTGTGTTAATGGCACTCCTCAGTGTTAATGGCACTTCCTCTGTGTTAAGGGCACTCCTCTGTGTAATGGCACTCCTCAGTGTTAAGGGCACTCTCAGTGTTAAAGCACTCCTCTGTGTTAATGGCACTCCTCTGTGTTAATGGCACTCCTCTGTGTTAATGGCACTCCTCAGTGTTAATAGCACTCCTCTGTGTTAATGGCACTCCTCTGTGTTAATGGCACTCCTCTGTGTTAATGGCACTCCTCTGTGTTAATGGCACTCCTCTGTACAGTACAGTAGTGTTTTAGAGAGATTAGTTGGTTATAATGACAGTGTTATTCAACAGTGGTTATTTTACTGTCTGGGTCATTTTAGCGGAACCTCAGATTAGAAATAGAATTTGAACTGTTGGTGAGAATTTTGACACCACCTAATATTTAAGATTGAATTTGAGGGAAGAGAATGCACTAGTAGGTTGGTTAATGGGGTTTAAAATCTATCTACTACACCATGGTCATTAAGACTGGTTGGTTGGTTAATGGGGTTTAAAGTCTATCTACTACACCAGGGTCAGTAAGACTGGTTGGTTGGTTAATGGGGTTTAAAGTCTATCTACTACACCATGGTCATTAAGACTGGTTGGTTGGTTAATGGGGTTTAAAGTCTATCTACTACACCATGGTCATTAAGGCTGGTTGGTTGGTTAATGGGGTTTAAAGTCTATCTACTACACCAGGGTCAGTAAGACTGGTTGGTTGGTTAATGGGGTTTAAAGTCTATCTACTACACCATGGTCATTAAGACTGGTTGGTTGGTTAATGGGGTTTAAAGTCTATCTACTACACCAGGGTCAGTAAGACTGGTTGGGTGGTTAATGGGGTTTAAAGTCTATCTATTACACCATGGTCATTAAGACTGGTTGGTTGGTTAATGGGGTTTAAAGTCTATCTACTACACCATGGTCATTAAGGCTGGTTGGTTGGTTAATGGGGTTTAAAGTCTATCTACTACACCATGGTCATTAAGACTGGTTGGTTGGTTAATTGGGTTTAAAGTCTATCTACTACACCATGGTCATTAAGGCTGGTTGGTTGGTTAATGGGGTTTAAAGTCTATCTACTACACCAGGGTCATTAAGACTGGTTGGTTGGTTAATGGGGTTTAAAGTCTATCTACTACACCAGGGTCATTAAGACTGGTTGGTTGGTTAATTGGGTTTAAAGTCTATCTACTACACCAGGGTCATTAAGACTGGTTGGTTGGTTAATGGGGTTTAAAGTCTATCTACTACACCAGGGTCATTAAGGCTGGTTGGTTGGTTAATGGGGTTTAAAGTCTATCTACTACACCAGGGTCATTAAGGCTGCAGGGTACCTGGTCACCACCAGTCAAGAATACTTTAATACCTAAAATACTGATTAATGTAACTACCAGTGTATTAGCACTGAGATATACACCTCTCAGTGTAATATACACTGAGATATACACCTCTCAGTGTATATACACTGAGATATACACCTCTCAGTGTATATACACTGATATACACCTCTCAGTGTATATACACTGAGATATACACCTCTCAGTGTATATACAACGAGATATACACCTCTCAGTGTATATACACTGAGATATACACCTCTCAGTGTATATACACTGAGATATACACCTCTCAGTGTATATACACTGAGATATACACCTCTCAGTGTATATACACTGAGATATACACCTCTCAGTGTATATACATTGAGATATACACCTCTCAATGTATACACATTGAGATATACACCTCTCAATGTATACACTCTGAGATATAC